TTTCCTCTAACTCCCTTTTTGGCCTTTTGTTTTCAAGCTCCAATTCATATTTTTCAACTTGGAGCTTTCTTTCAACAATTTCCACTGCCAATAAAAGATTAAGAGGTGGCCATTTAGAGTTGTTTCTTCAAGGATTTTAATATATTTACCTCACTTAATATGCCACACAAAGTACTCGTGGGTAAACCTCATTTGAGCATCTCTTCCTATCTTCTCTTTGAGCCAAATTCCAAGCTTGTAAGCTATTAGCTATCTTTATGGAGGCATCAATTTCAACGTATGAAAACTTCATTTTACTAAGTTCGAAATTGACTGGAATAAACTGTTCATAGCCATATTGTCTGTGTACCATAATGGGAGAATAACTCACTGCACCCCAAAAGCTTAAGAGAATAACCCAAAGCTTATCTTCATAACCATACAACATTTGTCCATAAGGCATCCAAAGAGCTCTCCATATCACATGTTGGCTAGTGAGCCTGCGTAGAAATAAAATCCATGCTTCCTTGGATTTTTGAGTAGGTCATTCATTTTCATAAAATTCCTTGATAGGAATACTTGTAATGAAATATGGCTTGTGAAATTTACCACTGTTACTTTTTATATAACTTTTCATCCAAATAGTTAATAATTAAATGCATCCAATAAAACGACCCTCTCCATTTCAATGACAATGATTTAAAGATCTAATAGTATCAACCAAAATTACAGGAATAGGGTTGATTTGATAACCAAATTAATCAAAAAAATCCACCACTGCAACATCAATATAGTTAATTACTTTTGGAAATACCACATCACATATAGAGCCAATACCATCAAATACATTCATCTTTTAGTGCCAAAATATTTGTATATAAAGTCATGAATAATGGACCAAGCAATACCAACACTTTCACCTTTACCTCTTACCCAATTATCAACACTTTAGACATTTACGGTCATTATTTAAGCAAGCTTTTTTTGGTAATCAATCTTTTTATTTTTTCAATATACCTTAGTAGGATTTAAGAGATCTAAATGAATAAGAGTTGAATATTCTTCAATAATTGGCACCATGTCAACCTCATTAAACACAAAGTAATGATATGAAATGTCCCAAAATTGAACCATGGCCCTAATAAGCTAATCATCAACAGGGACTAAAAGAAGTAATGTAAGGTCCTTAAACTTCTTTTGAAAAGTCTCCTTGGCAGTGACATTCCAAGGGTTCCAAATACTAACCAAATTGCTAAGATCATTTCATTTGAGATTGAAATGGATTTTGGCAGGTAAAGTAGTTACATAATTGGCTAGCAAACAATCACCTCCTTTAAGCTAAGCTTCTTAGATTCTCAAGCACATAAAGAACTTTGATAGGCTTTCCATGGATAAAATTAATATTCTTTTTGTTAAGATTGTTTTGTAGCAATCATTCCTTGTGTAAATCTAATGATGCATGCATGCACAATAAAATAGAGAGAATAAAAAAATGTTAGTTAACATAATATAATATATACAAGGAATAACAAAATATAAAGGGTTAATATGCAAAAATATATACAAGAATTTACAAGAATAATAACTATCCCATCATATGTCATATTTTGTCTTTTCTAATTAAAAGAAGGTAAAGCTCTCGACTAGATTTGGATCCTTAGCATTCATGTATATACTGGATTCAAAGGCTTAACAATCTAAAGCCTCCCAAACTATTCCTTACATCATTATCCATTAAAGACTAGTATGACACCTTAATCATTGCCCACCATTATAGATTCAAACGGAAATAGTTCAATTTGAGTGGGAGTTTTCGCTAGCTCACAAGAAAATTATCACCTCACGAGAGTATGCGTACTTGCTCCCTCTTAATAATGATAAAGCCCGAGTATAGAGCTTATGTATGAATGCAAGTGTGGTATGTGTAAAGGGACATACCGAGTAATCAAATGACAGGTGTGAATAAAAAATAATATCTGCAAAACAAACAAATAGATTAGTCCATATAAAAATCATAAATAATTACATAATAAAAACTATCAAAGTAAGGCTTACTATAACACATAATTAACTAACGACTCAAAGTAAGGCTTAATATAATACATAATTAACTAATGGCTTGACTCTCTAATATCTTTCCAATGGAGTCGCCAAACTGTCATAACGTTTAGGTTGGAAAAACCTACCCATTAGACACAAAATCATGAAATCGCTATCAATCTTTTTCATCTATGTGTGATTGGTCACCTTTATGAATTTATTCTTTTTAAAGTTGTCCTAAGTGTAAAATAAAGATCCCTGAAAGGAATAGATTTTGGTCTACATTATCAAAACTAAGGTTTAGGAGTCAATTACGTACAGGAAAGGTATTAGCACCTCTTTACACCCAAAATTAGGACCAAGTTAATTATGTGTTATCTTACCTAATCCTTATCAAAGATGGTTTTATTATGCAAATAAATCAATTCCAATCCTTTTATTTATTTATAAAACATGGTGATACAAAAATTCTATCAAAATATCAAATAATCATTTAATCATGCAATAAATATTAAATCATACCATGCAAAAATTTTCATGCCATAAATATAAAATCATATCAAATATCATGTAATAATATCATGCCTAGATCATACTAAAATATTCATGCAAGAATGTTATGCAAATATATTAATTATCATGCAAAAATATAAAATACCATGTAAATATATTAGTAACCATTCATGCAAATATATAATTATGAAATCAAATACAATCACACAAATATATTAGGATTTATGTATAATCATGCAATTATACACAATATTATAGAAACATGCAATTAAATATCATTTAAATATAATATTAATCATGCAATAACATATAATATCATATCATGCAATGATAATAAATAAATAATCAACTAGGCAAATAAATATATTAATAATCCTACAATCACACAAATAAGTAAATTAATAATCATGCAATTAACAATGTATCTCATGCAAATAAACATACAATTAAATATATAATCATGTAAATAAACATGCAATTAAATATATAATAATGCAAATAAATATATTAAGAACTAAGCAATTAAATATATTAATAATCAAACAATCAAATCAAGCAATCAAATATATTCATACAAATAAATATATTAATAATCATGCAAATATATTAATAAATCACATAAATAAATATATTAATCATGCAAACAAATATATTAGGCAAATAAATTATCATGTAAATATAATATTATTCATGCAAATTTATACAAAAATAAATACCATACAATAAATATAAAAATAAGAGTAAGCGATTAAATATTATAAAAGTTATGCAAAAATCACAATAAAAGAAAAAGAAAACAAACATTACCTCAATGATCACGGGTTCCAATAATTTTTTACCTTTTAAAAACTGATGTTTTCTACTATAAATCTTAACCTTTCTTCCAAAAACTCCAACTAGATCTTCTTGTAAAATTTTTTGCTTAATGGTTTTTTGCTTGTTGATTCAAAATTTTATTCAAATTTTTTTTCTTTCAATGATCTCTGTTTGATCTTGAAATCAATTGCTGTCAAGTCCCCCCTTTTGATCTTAGATTCAAGGTCCTAAAAATTGAATGTCTTTTGATTTAGAAGAAATTAATTCAACTGAATCTAATATTTCTTTCAAATTTTATTTTCTATGTAATCTTCTTTTTTTCAATAGAATGAACCCTAAATCTTTCTAAAATTATTCAACCATTAAAGTTAAAATATGAAATAAAATCTCAAAATTGAATTGAATCCAAAATTTTTCATACAAAATTTCACTTTTTTTATTTTTATCCTTTTTTTTTACCAATTGATTTTGACTCTTATTACTAAAAAAACAAAAATTAAACAAAAAAATTAAAATACAAATAAAATTTAGGATTTAATCTTTGGGCCCAAAATTCGCTTTTTCAATTAAGACTCAATTGCACAATCAAAATTAAAATTCAAAACCTAAGAAATTTTGAAAAATCTTTAGACAAAATTGGGTGTCTACAAATATTATCAAATTCAACTTATACAAAAATAGGATTTTTAAAAATTATACTAAAATGACTAAAATTTAAATTTCGTGTGAGTACAAAGATCATTTATATAATTTAACAACTGATTTCAGTCATCCATATTACCATATTAGTAAAGTCAACACCACATCAGTAAAATTAACGCATACACCATCAAATTAATGATCACACTAGCATTTTTACCGATAAAAATTTGACTAAATTAATAATTAGACTAAAATTATCATATCAAAATAGTATGTCAATTACATTTCTATAAATTATACAATAAAAAGATTGAATATCAAATTTCGTTATAGATCATTATCATAATTCGACCATTACATTTCTATATACTATTAATTGTTACCGCTTACTAGTTCTAAGCCAACAAGGCTTTAGCTTAACCACAAGGAGCAAATCCTAAAACTATATAATTTTTTGTTCAAATCTCATTGCATATGAATTTAATTCAACTTTATATTAAATTTATCTAATTATGTTTTAGTTTGTTAATTAATTTATTTGTTTAATTATTCAATAATTTTTGTATAAAAATGTAGTGCTTGATAATAATAGTAATTTGCACTAGTAATTTTATCAAAATATTATTAATTAAATCAGTTCGTGCAAGCCAATAATAATAACTATTTTGCTGTTTTTTTTTATTTGGAATTTTTTAACCACGAAAATACATTAAAAAAAAATTGTCAGGGTTGGAGGCCTCAGAACTATTACAGATTGCAGTTTTGGAAGGCTTTGAAAAACACGGCAGTAGAGGCTTTTAAGCATACTGAATTTTCTGCCGTACATTTTCAGGCCATTGAATTTGACACTGAAGAACTTGGCAATTTTCATAGTGATGATATGTAGATTCAGTGAAGAATTGGCAAGAAATTGTGAATAGAGCTCAGTGAAGAAAAATAAACAAATGGGAAAGTGCTCCATCGAATCTTTAACTAACATTGTACCAATGAAAGAATGTGAATTTCCATGCTGAGCAAGCAAAACAACAAATTTAGCTATAAAATTTTGATCAGTAATGTTGTACAAACCAGACATATTGTTTCCTTTTCCAAATGCACAATAGTCATTGTAGCATATCACAAATGCAGGTTTATTGGAATAGTAATAGGTACAACCGAAAAAGCTACATAGATCACTTACAGCCCTAAAGAGCATCATCGAATACTTTTCTTCCTAGCTAGCTCCCGGGCCATCTCCCTTAACTCCTCTGGTGATGGAGGTCTTGGTCCCTCTGCAGGATACACTACGTACGAATGCTTCACATCAAAGGAAAAGAGAAATCATTTAGACTCTAAAAACAAATAATCTAGGGAAAAAAGTTGTATAGTTCAAAGGTAACAAATTCAATCCTTAACAAGCAAAGCAGCCCCAATTGAAGAACTATATTTTGAAATAGGCAGATACATAAGCAACCTTTATAAAAGCATCAACATGATTCAAGTTAGAAGTAAAATTCCAGAAGAATCATAGCAAATCACCATTCTAGACATTCCAATCTGCAGGCAGTTTTGATCTACGGCAATCTCATTCACTGCCACACTATCTCTATAAGCCCTTAAGATGCTTTACGTCCAATCATCAAATAGCAAAAGACATTTTATTTGTAATGAAAAATAAAGGGGTGAAGAGGATCCATGCATTTTTTTTCTTTTAAGGTCAAGTAGAAGCTGTATTAGTATCTAGACCGAATGCAGAAGTTATGGAAAGGCACCTTATAAAAACAAAAGAATTCTTCCATATTAAGGATGAGATGAAATTTTGAACCAGTACCCCATTAGGAAAATGTTGCGTCAATAATGGAGCATAAGATATTTTTCACTTCATATTCTTATGCTAGCTCCATAAATTGACAAACAAAATTTTTAGACCTGAAAATCTAACTCTTAACAATCACATTTGAAAGATAATTTTAAATACTTCATGTGCAGATAGACGTATTATAAGCCTGCAACTCCATTGGAAAGAGGAAAATATCCTTGAAGCTACACATAGGGGCTTGCCCAGCTAATCTTTAGGGCTCCATTCATTCACTGTCAAGAATTTCTGATAAATGGCCCAGGCATGTAGTTAAACAACTTTGAGTGGCTATAAGCTGAAAGCCTCAACAATACAACAATAACAAACAACGCCTTTTCCAATGTATGTAGCTGGAGTTAGCAACATGTCCACTATCATTTCACTTATATGAATTTTCATCCATAAACTTACATAAAATGGGCCCAAAACTATGATTTTAGATCCATCATTTCACTTATATACAAGTTCATGAATAAATTTTCATCCATGAACTTACATAACATTGCCCCAAAACTATGGTTTTAATTAAAATCCACCATCTCACTTATATACAAGTTCATGGACGAATTTTCATCCATGAATTTATATAACATGGCCCTGCTAAAACTATGATTTTAAATTCAAATTCCTCTTCAAACTATTTCAACATGATCGGGAGTGCAGGAGAGGAACCATTAAAGACTTCCATTTACTCTCTCAATAAACAAACAAAAACATTGCTTTTTTTTTTTTTTTTTTCGCCAAATACCTAAGCCAGAACCCTGAATATTAACATAAACATAAAGAACATCGATCACTTCAACCCATCAAAAAAAGTTGCATCATTTAACAACACCTCATGTTCAACAGCAACAAATATCTGAGCTTTTGATATACCTCCAAAGAGAACAGGAAAACAAAAAACATAATTCCTTGTTGCCAATAAGCTGGAAAGGAAATAAACACCCAATTTTCGGGAAACTCAAACAAGTATCAAACTTCAATCGAATTTCAACAAAGATCTCAACCCATCACATAATTCAACAAATCAAACAAATTCCACCAACTAAAAATACAAAACAAAAAAGCTACAACATTTTTTTAATATTTAAATATAATGAAGAGAAGAGACAAAAGAGAGTTTACATTTCCCATAAATTTCTGGAGATTCTTGGTGTTGTTGGCGAAAGTGTACATAAGAACGATGGGGATCGACACATAAAGACCGAATTTGGCGATTTCAAGAACACCCTTTGAAGTGCCTACAGCAGACATTTTCCTTTACTTCTCACCGAGAAAATTTTGATGGGAATTTGGGAGAAAATTTCTTTGTGAGGCTAAAGGTCTAACACATGGATACGTCACATCCCGATCATGGGCCGATTCACGTAAGAAATTTGCTAATGAGTTCATGAAACGATGGCCCAATAGCATGAATATGGCCCAAAACCAGGTTGTTCGTCAACATAAACAAGGTGGGGAGACTTGTGACATTGCAATTTGCTAACTGCTTGTAATTGTCATCCAATGCTTTCATTTCTATTAATTAGGACATCACTTGGTTTTGACCAAGACTTTAGGTTCAAAAATAGAAAAAGAAAGACTTGGTTTTGACATTTATCAGAAGAAATTACATCCCCTTGGACACGGGACTTTCAAGTCCTCCCCTCCCCCCCCCCCCCCCCAAGCTTTAAAGGGGGCGATATACCGAGTACTTGTATTCAACGCATTAATCTTTCCCAATAGTCTTCTCGTTTAAGATTTTCTGAAAGAATTGGAACCACATGCTCTAGGAATGTAGGATACGAAGGATATGTGACAGTCATTGCCACAATGGCTAAGAAATGGAAAAGCAAACGTCGTTTGTAGGGAACCCTAGGGGCCATGTCTTGTTCGGCCCCATACTCGCAAAAGTCAATAGAATGGTTAAAAGGCCATCAACCTATTTGTCCTTGAGACCACATAAATTGAATTGATTTGATCTACTCCTCTTTGAGTTTAGCTTTGAGTTCATGATTTTCTAGCCATCTCAATCCTCAATTAAGTTGTAACTTGTAATTAAGGCTGTACAGCATTTGTCAATTTTCATAATATTATTTTTGAAATTCAATTAAAGATAATAACTCTAGATAAAAACTCAGATACATGACTAAAATCAATACAGAATTCACTTATATTTTCACTTAAAGAGAGAAAAAAAATGAAAAGTTTAGAGATTCAATTTGCAGATTTTCAAAATCATATTTCCTAAAATTTTGTTTCAACTTTATTCTATTAATTTTTTATGTAATAAAGAAAAACTAAATATTGGATTTGAATTACTTGAACAAAGATTTTTTGAAAATTTTTGCATCTTATATATTAACCGATGCATATGTAATTAATTAATACATTTCTTATGGAGGTTATTGATTAAATTAATTATTTAGTTAATTAGGCACTTCAATATCATTAAAAAAAATCATTTCAAATCAATGAATGTTTGAATCAAGTGGAAAGAGAGACTTTTGGTTATTTGGATTTAAATTTGTTTGAAAACTATGAAAAAATAAATTTTTTTATGAATTCATTTAATTCGAAATAAATAAATCTATTTGAATAAATTCAAAATTATATATATTAAAGAAACTTAAAAATTTTTTACCGCTCAAAATAAATCATTTCAATATATTTACTTAAATTTAAATCCAAAGAGTCTTAAAAATCTCATAATGTGCTTGGAAATTAATTTAGAGATTGAAAGAGCATCTACCTTCTTGATTGCATCCCTGCTTAGTAATTTCTTCCTATAATAACCACTATGTTTACCTTGTCCTTTTCTTCGAGGTTAAACTTTAAAATATTATTAATTAGTATTTGTTTATATAAATTTTAATTAAACTATAAATAATATTTGTGATGACAATGATATAATTCATCTTTAATACTTTTTTTATAGAGGTCCAATGGGGCCAATTGTCATCTATTTATGTCTCTTCGTTGGTCCACATGGATAATGCCATCAAATCATATGAATTTTTTGAGTGACAAATGTCGTAACGGTTTTGAGATCGTCAGACGTAAAATGTGATGTTTTAAAATCAAGAGAAATAAAATGGAGTCGCCACCAATCTTTGTTAGAGTGTGATTGACCACCCAAAATTTTATCATTTTAATAAAACTATAAAAATGAGTTTAAAGTTTATTAAAAAGATAAATTTCGATCTACGAAAAACTAGGTTGGATCCGAGAGTCGGTTACGTGTGGGGAAGGATTAGCACCCCCACAACGCTCAAAAATTGATACCTTTTAATTACGCGCTATTTTCGGTGTTGGATAAAAATTATTTTAATTTGAAATTTAATTCTAATTTTTTTCGTTTTAAAAAATATTTTTTGCTAAAATTTTTATTTAGAAATATTGAGAAAATCTTTAAGTTAAAGAATTATCTTAAAATTCTCCAACATCTAGGCAGAATTTAAAATAACTCTTTCCGCTTAAGATTTAACATAATAATCCTTAAAATGAAATAATAATCTTTATAGAAAATGTTAGTGACTCTCCAACATCTAGGTAGAGTATCAAGAATTATTTCTTTCAGAATGTTATTTTTATTTTGTTTTATAATATCATAAAATTCTTTAAAAGTATTATTCTTTTTTATTATAAAATATTTTATCAATAGTAAATAAAAGTTAAAGACAGAATAGTGCAAATAATTACTGATAATAATATGCTAACGTATGTATGCAAATGAATGTTATATAGGATGAGATGCAATTTAAAAGTTGGATTCTTAAGTATAATGAGAGCACCCCGACTCTCCAACATCTAGGCAGAGCTTAGGTGCGACTATTTATATTTAAGATCCCAATTTACTGTTATACTTTTTATTTATTACTCTTATTATTAATGCGAATTATGAAATCGTGTGAAAAAATTTAACGAAGTAGAATTTTTTAAATACTTCATCATCTAGGCGACATTCGGGAACAAATTGCTTCAAATAGAATTTTTACACGCATCCTTAAGAGTTTTAGGAGGTTTTGAGTAAGGGCTTGAATAGAGGTTTTGAAGGTTTGGTTTTAAGGTTTAGAGGGTTTTAAAGCTTGAATTTTAGGATATGAAAGGTTTAGGGTTTTGATTTTAGAGTTTTAAGATTTTAGGGTTTAGGTTTTGAGATTTGGGGTTTTGATTTAAGGGTTTGGATTTTAGGGATTTTGAATTTTGGGATTTGGATTTTAGGGGGGCTTGGGATTTCGAATTTTGGGGGGTTTTAGATTTTAGGGGTTTCGGATTTTAGGCGATTTGGATTTAAGGGATTTTAGATTTTTAGGAGTTTCGAATTTTAGGATTTTGGATTTTATGAGATTTTAGATTTTAGGGGTTTTAGAAACCTAGGATTTTGAAAATTAAAAATTAGTGTTTAAGGTTTAAGTAAAACGTGAACATCTCTAAAAATTTCCATCATCTAGACGGACTTTCGGAGCAGGTTCAATTTTTTATAATTTTTGAAAATTAATTTAAAAATTTCTTATATTTCTTTTTATGAAAATTTATTAATAATAATTCTCCAACATCTAGACGAAATTATTTTTTAGAAAAAATATTTTTTATTCCCTCCAACATATAGGTAGGGAAAATAATAATAATAAATATTTTTTTGAACATTTTTAATATATATTTTTAGTTATTACTCGTTTTCAATTTTATTATTAATAAAACAATTAAACATTTATTCTAACAAATTTAGAAATTTATCATGCATCAATATAAAAATATACTTAAAATAACAAAAAAATAATAAAAAAATTAGAAAATTAAAAAAAAAAAATTTTTACCTGAACCGAACCGATCAACGATCCGATCAATGCTGGTCTGACCGGTTCTGCGGTTCAGTCAGTGGTTCGGACCGATTAAGATCGGTTCACTGACGATTCTTCTGAACCGATTCAAGGTTGACTGAAACGGGTTGACGGGTCGATTTGCACGGATCTTGGGTCGGATCCGGGTCCATAGACGGATCTTCCTTCGTTAAAACGGCGTCGTTTTGGGTCTTTCCCTAAACGATGTCGTTTTGAGTTTTGCTTTCCTATATATAGCTAAAAAAAAAAATTTTTATTCATTATTTTCTATATCAGAAAAAGAGATAGAGAGAGAGCTTTGGGGGGAGAGCTCCGGTCATCTCGTTGTCCGACCGTTGGAGCACCGAGCCGGCTGTCGCTTGGTCGTCACTGGTGGTGGTCGTCGGTAGCTTAAAAATTACCAAAATTCACCACGATGCTCCTCTCGGCCTCTTGAGCCCAGATCCGAAGTCTTTTTCGGGAGAACAAGCCCCGATCGACGTAGATCGGGGTTTGAACTTTTTTGAGTTTGCCATTTTTCTTTCTTTTTTTTTTATGTAAAATGAAGGTTGATCTGATTTTTTTTGTTCTTGCAGGGAGCTCGGCGCTGATGGTTCTTCGTCGTAAGCGAGGACTGTGTTGTTTTTTGTTTTTGTTTCTGTTTTTGCGTTTTTGTTTTGGGTATTTTGGGGGGTGTTTAGGGTTATTGAAGGAAGAGTTTGGCTTGGTGTTTAAGCTGGAAACGAGAGGGTGCTGAAGGTAGTATGTCTAGAGGTTTTCCAAAGGGGTTCCGAAAGCTTTTTTTTTTTAGAGGGGGTCTGAGAGTAGATTGAATGGGTTTTCTTTTCTTTTCAGTTAGAGAGCTGAGAGAGCCCAAGGGGAAAAATGGATGGAGATTTTAAGGAGCTTCAAAATGGGATCTGGGTGACTTTAAGGTGGCTATAGGTGGGCTGGTCAAAGAGCTGTAGGGTGGTTGGTCGGGGGCGATAGTAGCGCCAGCCACCCAACTTTCTGTTTTTCTGTTTTTTGTTTTTTTATTTTTTTATAGAATTAATAATTATTTTTTTTAATTATTATTATTATTATTAAAATTATTAATATTATACTAAAATAAAAATAGTAGACCCTGACAACATTGGTGTCTACAGCTACCCCTCTTTGCACATTACTGAGAATCAGGAATAGGACAAAGGCAAAGACAACAATTTTGTCCGAAAGCAAATCGTGATTTTTAAAAAAAAAAAAACATAAAACGATTGGGACGACACCGCAAGTCAAAAAATAATGAATCGATCGAGATAATATCGCAAATCAAATTTACGCCCGGAGGTCTTATAAATCATGTCCGGGGGTCTTACAAAATCATGTCCGGAGGTCTTACAAAATTGACTGGGATAACACCACAAGTCGAAAGATAAAGAATCGATCGGAATAACACCACGAATCGAATTTATGCCCGGAGGTCTTAGAAATCACAAAATCTTTAAATGCTCCTCATAATCAGAGGCAAAAAAACTTTAAAATTTGAAAATCTTTTAATC